CTCCCAGTTAAACTGGCTAATGGTGACTATGAAGTTAACATAAAATTGTGTTACTATATTATAAGCATCAATGCCTATTAGTAACTAATGAATCATGAAATTAATTTTAACTCATTTTCTGGCAACATAACATGCAACTTAAATTCACTCTTATTGGCATGCGGTGCTTTAATGTTATTTCCATACAAGTGTAAGTGGCACACAAGTATGTTTTCCAGGAAAACAATTAGGGCAGCATGGTGGTTCAGCATCAGGGACCTGGATTCAATTCCAGCCTCGGGTGACTGTTAGTATGGAGTTTGCACATTCTCTCCATGTCTGCGTGGGTTTCTTCCAGGTGCTGCAGTTTCCTCCCACAGTTCAAAGATGTGCAGGTTAGGAGGATATGTCATGCTAAATTGCCCACAGTGTCCAGGGATGTGCAGGCTAGGTGGATTTGCCATGAGAAATGCAGGGTTACAGGGATAGAGTAGGGGGAGTGGGTCTCAGTGATACTGTTTGGAGGGATGGTGTGGATTTGATGGACTAAATGGCCAGGTTTCACACTGTAGATATTCTATGATTCTAGGAAAGTATGAATCTACATGTGGATTTTTCTGCTCTGTTGCTATTATTACAACTTTCATTTGTGATGAAAACTCAAAGAAATTTTAATGCAAAACAATTGACTTCACAAAAAAAGAAGCTGACATCCAACTAGTTTACAAATAATCTGAGGATCTTGAGCCTAAAATGTCCAAGAAACTAATCTTGTTGTGAGAGTTTTTGGGCATTCCCATCAAATATTTGCAGGAGTCTACTGAAACCTTTGACAAGTCAACGTTGTTGATTAAAATGCACTTTGTTGCAATGAATGTGAGTTATTCTTGATTAAATGACTTATCTACTTTGGGTCTTTAATATTACCAGTTAAATTAATGAAGAATGATTAACCTTGATTACTGATATCGTTCTCCCAACCAATCCAAATTCCACAGAATTTACAATTCACCAACGTTGGAAATGATTTCAAAAAATGCTTTTTGTCAAAATAGTTGGTGAATTCCGGTACTTGTGAAGGTGATGTATGCCAGTGCTGATGATACCATTTATTTTCCACATACCAGTTCTTCTCTAAGTAAGAATGAGCTCTCTGCATCTGCTTGTATTCACTCCTGCCAGGAGATCTGCCATCATAACTTCCAACTGCTAGCCTGTCTTGAACTGTCTTCACACATCCACTGTAGCTTGTCTGCAACCACTTTCTGACATTCATTATCCAGCTACACTTAGGGTAACCCTCTTTCACCTGTGCATCACTTTGCCCTCTAACAGGAATCTCTGAAGCTTCTCAGTTCTGATCAAGCAGCCAGAATACGGAGAATTCATTTTCTGTGTGTCATTTTTAAGAGTTCTTTTTGTTCCTAATATTTCAAGCACCTTTTTATTTGTCATGTGGTCTGTGAATGGAATTTTTAGCATAATTTACATCCACTTTTCAAAACCCTTTTTTTACCTCTCTCTTCTTTCTTCATTGCTTAACATTAAATTTTGGATAATTTGAACTGAAGAACTTTGTTCATTTGTGCTGCTACGTTTGGGCTCTGATAGTCATCATCCATGCACTAGGCATTTCTGGCATTTAAGCTAAATCCGGTTCACTTAGCTTTGTGCTCACATGACACCCAACTTCTCATAGACCTGAATCTGCCATCAGAACAGGAAAAGCAGATATAATTGTGAAAATGCCTCAAGCCAGTTCATAGAAGGAGGTCTCTGAATCCAAACTAAAAATGGCACCATTTTAAATGTGGCCGGATATTGGCAAAATTGGCAAATACAAGAAATAGCAAGGAGACATTCACCCCATCGGTCTGGGTTCCATTGACATCCAATTTTTAAAGGTGAATTGAGTAATCCAATATGCTACAGTCACAGAGTCACAAAATTGTTATGGCTCAGGAGGAGGCCATTCAGCCCATTGTATCTGCACCAGCTCTCTGAGCATTTTAACTTTGAGTCAATCTGCCTTTTCTCTGTAATGCCTCAATTGTTTCCACAACACTTCCAAACTGTTTATTTCATACCCTAACTACTCACCATCTGAAAAGTATATTTTTCACCTTGCGTACGCTTTATTTTTAAAACACTTTAAAACTGTCTCCTCTGGTTCTCATTTCAGTTCTGAGCAGGAAAGTTTCTCCCTATCTACTCTGTCCAGATACCTCACGATTTTGAAGCCTGTCAAACCTCCCCTCAGCCTTGTCCCCTCTGTGGAAACAGTCCCAAATTTTCCAATCTATGTTCATAATAAAAGTTTCCCTTTTGGGGAAAACTAAGATGCTGCAGGGGAGTAGAGGCAAATTTGTGCTTTTGTTAGTTCAAAGACACGGTACAATTTTTTTCCAAATGTTTTGTACATGTCTGCGTGTGAAAATGGTAGATTTGACCAAGTTGGGAGAAAAATTTCTGTGGGTATTCTTGTCCAGTTATAGAATGACTAAACTGATACAACATCAGAAGAGACTGGGAAGGGGTATTTTCTAGCTATGTAAACCTATTCTACAACCTTACTTGGATTTATACATGCATTCAAGAAAAACTAATCTACAGTAGAAGAATTACTTATTTATCTAATATGAGAAATATATTTTATGTTTAAAAACGGATGAATTGTGATATTTCAGTTTCCACCTTAATCTCATCTATGTATCTCAATCTTTATTTGCTTTCCTGTAGAATTACTAAAAGTTGAAGGATAGTCAGTCATTTTTACCTCTTGGTTTGATGTGTGTGTGTGTGAATGCTTTAATGTGTTGGACACTGGGGATCTCCTGCAGTTGATGTATTAAATTAGCGTTAGGAAAAATTAAATCCATGCCAGAGAGAGTGCTAGATCTTTTGTGGGCAATTTCAAGGTCAGTGGCGAGTGCCATCACTTCAGCACTGACAAGAAAATCCAGGCCATTAAATCAAGTGAAGCCAAAATATAAAATTCTTCATTTCCTGGGAGTGGTTGGAGATAAATTTGATTCCTTTGCTCTGTGGAATTTCCAAGCTTCAAGTGCATTTCTACATGACAGGAAAAATGGCTGTATATGTAATAAGAACGGCACCGGTCAAGATTTGCATTTGGGCCTTCCTTCATGAGATCTCAACTGCAGTTGGTTCACAATGTGAGAATATCAGACTGATGGTAGACTTCACTCTGACTGAATGTGTCCAGTAGTTGAAGAGGAGCAGACTATAAAGCAACCAGATTACTGGACTGCATCAGTGGGATAAGACTCATGTTGATGATGGTTCAACTGAATTTGAATCAGTTTGATCAGGCACAACAGAAAGATTCAAAGATTAGGAAATGATGTGGTAGAGCTCTACAAGTCTGATGCTGAGGACCAGATGAAATGAATTAGGGGAATCTTTTCACAAAGGTGCATTGGATGTAGTATTCATAGTTAATACAATACCACATCTGCTTGACCAGTTGGAATTTGATTGCTCTCTTGCATTTAAATAACATAAGAACTCCATCTTTTAAGAATGATTTAGGTGTGAATTGCTTTGGGACACTCTGAAGGTGAGAAAGGAGTTAGATATATTTTGGTTGTTTCCTTTTCTTAGTTTACCTCAGAACATAAATCCTGAGCATTATTGCAAGTTAAACCATAACCATAGAACAGGGAGGTAAGTGCTAAAATGCAAATTCAGGATTGATGCAGAAAGGCATTTCTCCAAGTGTCCCATAACACATTGCAGATAATACATGACACTTATGGTATAATCTAAGCAAAGGGAGGACTCAACTTTTGCATAGCAACATAACGTAAATGACGAGTTATTCAGTTTTAGCTACAAAAATGTTACAAAATTATTTGGTAAAATCTTTTGATTTTTTGATGTACGAAAGAAGAAAAAGCATTCAATTACTGCAGGGATGTCACAATGTATTTTATATCTTACTATTGTCATATCTCAATTAAAAAGCTAGAGTGGCAAGCTGCTGTTATGTATCATGTGGTACGTGGCAACATGGCATGTCACCTTCAGTTTCCTACAAGATAAAGTGTTAGATCTAGCTTACATTTAGCACTTCTGTCAAAGGAGGAGGTAAAAATACTTGTTGCATTATCATGGCCAATTCACATTATCAGCAGGAGTCTGGGAAGGAATTCACGGATCCTCAACTGCTGATAGGATCAGAGATACAACATCTTTGTATATTCTTGTGTAATAAAATGTCCCTAGGTGTTTTGAATATAACAGTTTTACATAATTTTGCAGCATAAAACAATGCCCTTCAGCCCATTAGAATCTTGTTTATGCTCCAAACAAGCCAATTTCCAGCCTATTTCATCTAACAATATTTGTATTACTTTCTCACTCATGTACTTATCTAGTTTCCCCTTACATGCATCTATGTTTATCTCAGTTACTTCTCATTGTAGCAAATATTAAATGAATCAAAACCAGATAGTGAAGTACAAAACGGGATACAATTCTTTTTCCTGTTAGTAGGTTTTTTTGCAGGATGCAATATTATAGATCTCTGCTTCCTAACTGCCAACCTAGTGTCCCAGCTAACTTTTTTTATACTCTTGCTTTGAGACAACATTAAAGGAAAATTAAACCAAGTAAAACAGTGACAGCTCCTAGTTTGGGTCCTGGAATGAAAGCTGATTCTCTTGATAATCACTTTCAATCAACATGTTCAACCATATTATGACATGCGTCTGAGGCAGGCAGCTCTTGGTATTTACATTGCCAATGTACTACCAGAGGCCTTTGTGTGCCGTCAGTCTTTAATCAAACAATGCCCAAAACCTATATATCTTTACAACGCAATCAACTAATCATTATTAGTCGCAAAGTTCACATACTACCATTTTGTATAAAAACAATTTTCAAGAATTCCCTATTGAATTTATTAATAAACTTTCATACATATTGTTTCCTTATATTTACAAATAGTTCTTTCAAATGAAAATGCTAAATGGAATTATTATCATTTTTTTCCACAGAAGCCTACAGTTTTGCTTCACCACATGTCACAGTCACTCCATCAACAGGTATGGTAAATCCTTCCATACCAATATCCTGCCATGGGCTACAGTCTTCAAGTCCAGTGACTTCTGTGCTACCTTCAACAACAAGTCAAATGATGGGATATGGGGGAAACATTGACACTGGAGCTTCAAGCTACTACTTGACTCCTAATATAAGACCAAATGGTGCTCCAACGCTTGAGAGTCCAAGGATTGAAATTACTCCTTATCCAGGAATACACATTGGCCATAATCAATTTACTGGTGAAACTGAGCTGGATGGAGTGGAGAATGGCTCTGGTTGTAAACGTTCCAATTCATTAGTTACACTCACTCTGCCAAATGCAGATGCCTACAGAGATCCCTCATGCTTGAGCCCAGCAAGCAGTCTTTCGTCTCGAAGTTGCCATTCTGAAGCTTCTGAATCCAGTTATTCCATTCCTTATGATACCTCTCCGCTGACTTCTCCTTGGCAGTCACCATGTGTGTCACCCAAGGGCACAGCCCACGAGGAAGGATTCGCTCGTGGACAAGCTGCATGCACCCTGTGGAATTCACCAAGGCATTCGCCGGGCACTTCACCGAGAACAAGTATCACCGAGGAGAACTGGCTGAGCCCACGACCAACCTCTAGACCTTCATCGAGACCACAGTCTCCTTGTGGCAAACGAAGGCATTCATTCAATGGAGGATACTTCCGACAACCATCCTATTCACCACATCATTCTCGAACACCATCACCTCAAACCTCGCCTCGCGTAAGCGTGACTGAGGAGACATGGTCGGGGAGTGGAAACCAGTACAATTCTGCTATTCTTGCTGCCATTACAGCACTCACCACTGACACTTGTATGGATATCAATGACAGTATTCCTGTCAAGTCCCCAAGAAGAACTATACAAGACCAAAGCCCTTCCATGTTGCTCAAGCCTGAACCAGGGAATGATGAACAAAGAGCCTATTCACCATGTGGTGATCCATCACAAGAAGAATTTTCTGCATCTCGCCTTCTTATCAAAAAAGAAACTTTCTGTGAACAGTATTTATCAGTACCTCAGCATCCATATCCATGGTCTAAACCAAAATCTGTATCATCATCGTCTTCATCCTTTGCCAGGTATGAAAGGCAGAAATCTGATTTTCACTGCCAGCTCATGTCGTTAGCGTTCAGAAAAGGCATTGGAATGTGGTAGACTATCATAAGAAGGAAGACATGTATTTAAAACCTCATAATCCCTGGCTATTCCAAGGTACTTTATAGCCAATGAAGCACTGAAATTCAGAAAATGAAACATATCTTAAAAAGTTTTGTACATCACCAATATAAAATAATGAGCTGGATTTTGCAAATAAATAGTGCTAAACTGCCATTCACTGCGCTTCCACTTGCCCATGGACTTTCTTGGGCTTGTTCATTGAGACTTGCTATAATTACAAAAACCATTTTTGGCACAGTACCCTATGCAGGGGATCAGACCTGTGTCAGCAAAGGCAAGCAGCTATGTATTTCCTTAGCCATTTAGCTTAAATCCTTGCTGAAAAGCACCAAGTTGGAAACAAAAATTAAAAGCCTTATTTCAGTACTAAATGATATACAAAATAAAAACCAAAGCAAAATTGGTGCCTAAAAGTGAGTTAAGAGAATTTTAAAAGCAAGATTTTTTTTAAGTTTTAATGTTCTGCAACAATAATTACAATCTGAAGAAACGAGACTGTACAATTCTAAAAGTAAATTTCGATTGTCAGCAAGGTTGTTTGAAAATAGTTAAACTTAAGGCACATAAAAATTCACTTTTACATTGGATTGGACAAGCCCTAACTTTTTCTGGTAAATTTTGTGTATATCTATCACACAAGTCAAAAATATCTAGTCATTTCACGTGTTTCAACAGTAACTCTTAGCGAGATATCTATACATCATAACTTTAGGAGGAGCCAGGCAACCAAGATAACAACTTTCTGATTAGCATCACTGTTTGCTTTTCCAAATACAGTTCATTAAAAACTTCAGCATATCCTTCCTTTACCCATTCATTGGGGATTCCTTTTATTGAATATTAAGCTGCTTGTTTTGCAAATAATTTCGCCACAAAATGAAGTAAACCGCTGCTATTTTCTGCTTCCTTTCTGAGAAACAAATCTATAAATCATTTTGATTGCAAAGAAAAATATTGAGTTTTTTTGTGAAGGAATGAATACTGTATTGAACATCCCTAGATTCCATTTACCCCATTCTGTTTTCTATTTTCTGAGGAGTAGGTGATGTTACTGTAATGGGCCAGAATAGACCCCCTCAAAATACATCAAGTTGGTAGCCTGGACCCTAATATTTTCTTAGTTTAATGGTAAATATCAGATGCTGTGTTCCAGATGCAATTTGTTTGGTCAAACTACTCAATGTTAAGCAAAACACAATTTATTTATACACTATAGTTAAAAGACAACAAAAGATAGAATAAAGAAAATAATTGGCTTAGCTATAACTCTATTGGAATGCTCAGCAAAATAATCGCTACAGTAACTATTGCTAATTAACTGTTCCAGGATAGTAACATCCCATAAACACATCCTTGGCAAAATGGTTGTCTATCATGCAATTCTCCAATCCAGGAGGAAAGAACATCAAAAGACAATTCTGAGAGAAAACTCAGAGAGAGAATGAAGCAGCTGGGAGAGATTTACTGCCTTCCAACCCTTCTGAGATCCTAGAAATGACTGCTGCATGCTAAAACTAAAATCTCTGATTCTGTGGGTGGGAGCTTGACCACACCCATTCAGGCTGCTTCTATTATTCCAACTTTTTAAAAAAAATACCCAAGGCTTCACAGTTTGTTTATCTTCTCATAAACTGCTCCTCACCTGTCCGCCAATCTCACTCTTAAAAAAAAAGGACAAAACACACCTCTTAAATCCACAGTGTCATAATTATTGCTAACAATATAACAAACCATAACATGAGTTACATAACTGAAGCATTAACAAACATAAAGCTTGGAAGTTAAAAGAACATAGTAAGTATATAGGCCGTTCAGTCCTTTGAGCTATTTTTGCCATTCGGTTGGATTTTGGCTGATCTATTGCTTAACTGTATTAATGTTTACCTCACCTTAGTTCTGACTTTTCATACCCTTCTCCAACAAAAATCTTATCAATCTTAGTTTTGAAATTTTCAGTTGACCCCCAGGCTCAACAGAGTTTTGGGAGTGAGTGTTCCAGATTTCTATTACTCTATTTTAAATAAGTGCTTCCTGATTTCACTCATGAATGGCCTAGTTATGCATTTAAAGTTTTGCCCACAAAGCAAGATAAATTACTAAGAAACAGTGCTCAATATTTTACTTCATAATTTAAAAGAAAAGCAGACTTCCTTATCAGAAAATAATCAGCAAATTGGAGATCATACGCTTATTCATTTAGGAAATGCATTTCCGTTAGGTTTCTCCTGCCTTCCTTCTGTAATTTGAGAAACCTGGGGAAAATGATAGGAACATTGTTTATGACAATATTTTTGCTGGGGTTTCCAAAGGCTCTTTTCCTAATTTTGCACCTGACATTTGAGAGATCTCTCATGAAATTTTATCCCATCAATTCTGATTTGGATTCCTCTTCACTATCCAAATTGACCCCTTCAGGGCTTGTACATTCGATTAAGTACATGTATTCTGAGCTGGTCTTTAAACATAAATGAATGAACTTTGTTCAAAAGATCACCAGAAATGAAAGGACAAAAATGATAATAATCTCCTATTGCCCAACTATTTATGGTTAATACTGAAATTGTCAGATCTCAAATTATCAGCCCATTCAAACTATCTTGTTAGGTAATTCTCAGTTTAAAAATGTTTATTCATTTTAAAGATTCCTCGAAAATCTTATTTTTTTAATATGCAACTCAACATGCTAGAGGATCATCTTACCTTTTGAAAATTAAAAGTGACGAACACTTTGCAAAAATAGTTAGCATCCATAATTTTTATAGAGGTTTATTTTTAACATATTTTCTCATCTAGATATGGAAATATTTTTGTATTTTCTGGTGGAATATCAAAAAGGAAGGTAAAAGAATATATTGTTGAAAGCATCTGGCACCATCTCCAAATGTAGTTGGAAGAGACTTGCAGAATCACATCTTCCAAAGCTTACAAAAAAAAAGGGTTTTAAAATAAGACAGTTTTAAGGGGAAATGATGCAAATGTTGCTGGGAATAATTTTCAAATCATAGCAATTATGACAATCTAAAACTGAAATATTCAAGTCATATGTTACATCAAAGGTCTGATATATGTTTTCAACCAGTGACATTATAAGGTTGTATTGGATTTGAAAATATTAATTTCACCTTAATTTAACAATGAAACCGTTTCAGTAGACGATGAGCCTGTCTAATCCATTCAGTGAATTAAGAAAGGTGACTAATCGATAATAGCCCCTCCATTTCAAGGACATTCTCCGTTTCATCTAAAAGTTGCTTAATTATCTCATAAGTGGTTCATTTGTCATATATAGTCTTCAAGTAGTTTAGGGCTTTTCAGTGCTTTAAAGAAACAATTTCCTTCAGATCCGTACATTCAGAGACAGAGCTAAGAGATTTAGAGGCACAAGATCCATAAGATGAACAACTACGTGAAAGATCAGATTGTCTACATAAAGCCTGGTTAGTCTTATCAGAATGTCTGAACTGATTGAAGCAGCATGTTTGAAGCAGAAAGAAATTTTAGATTACATGCCAGCTCTAACCACATCAGCCCTATTTTCATTGAGGCTAAAGAGGGCACATTCATAATTTCTTGTGATAGCATATCAGTATTATAGAACATAAAAAAAGAGAAACGGAAATTTGCAGGACGGTGTGGATTGAATAGAAGCTGAAGTTGCAAAATAGGAAGATTCTGATGATAGCATTAAAAGGAGAGATTATTAATAATACAAGTAAATAGATGAGAAAAAATGTTCTGAAATTAGACTACAAAAGGCTGAGATGTGGGAGCAATAACTTGAACCATTGGAGTCGAAACAAACCTAAGTTATTCCACGCCCTGTGTTACACGTGATGCAGTTATAACAGAGCCTTAGTATATAAATCTACATGAAATGGCATACACAGCAGAGACATGGCCATAGCTTTCCTAGCTGTGCAACATCATACTATAATAATGCTACCAAGATGCTCAAACAATAACCCCTTAAATTTCCATAGATTAAGGGGAGGTAGCAGTGCATTGCTGATGTCAATGGATTTATAATCCATAATCTCAAGATAATGTTCTGTGAATGTGGTTTTAAATCCCATCATTGGCAATTGGTGAAATTTGAATTAAAAATCTATCTAATGCCATCCTTCCTAATCTGGCCCACATGTGACTCCAGATTTACAGCAAAATATTTGACTTTTAACTGCCCTATAGGCAATTACAGATGGGGAATAAATGCCAGTGAGATCATCATCCCACAAACTAATAAATGATTCATGATATTAGTTAAAACTGTTTATTACTTACTAAAACAAGTAGAACATCACTTATTGGGATATTGCAATGGAAATCAGATCCTGGTTAAATGTGATGGTAGGCAATGGCCCACACCAGGATCCAGGCAGGATGGGCAAGTCGGATGATCTCCTTTGTGAGTTACCAGGCTTCATTGGAGCCACCATCCTCAAGGTCATCGTCTGCACAGTTAATCTTCTCTAAAGCTTCTTGAACTCACCCTCCTGCCTGAGATCCCTGACCCCAGTTTGGCTGGGATCCTTCGCTGGTGGGTTTGCCTGTAGCCTCTGCCGTGGCCACTGCTCCAGGTTGGTGTTGCTGTGTCTGCAGAGAATCTAGGCATCCATTGATCTTCAACTCTCAAAGGTGGTACTTCCTCTCAAGAAAGGTTTGGGAATCTTGCATTAAAGCAACAAACACAGTTTCCAATATTAAGTCACTATGGGTAAGCTGTTCTGCATTCTGGTTGAGGACTGCAAAGCCCTTTAAAATTCAGCCCCTTGTTTCCAAGTAAGGAAAACAAATGAATGTTTTCAAAAAAGTTCTTAGAAACTCTGGCCATGTACATGTGTTGTTTCAATTCATATCCACAATAAATTTATTGTAATTATTTGCATGTGAAATATTTTAAATGTTCTAATGTGCGGAAGGTTTGAGTTATTTGGGGTCATTGAAGTAGATTTTAAGATCATGAAATGTGATGTATTTCCTCTCTTTAGCCCTTCTCTGCCTGCCCTCGACTGGCAGTTGCCATCCCATTCAGGACCTTATGAGCTTGAGATTGAGGTGCAACCTAAATCACATCACAGAGCACATTATGAAACAGAGGGCAGTCGTGGAGCTGTAAAGGCATCTGGTGGGGGACACCCTATTGTGCAGGTTCGAATATCTTATAAGCACTTCCTTTTCCTTTTAGACTTCGAATAGCGTCTAATCTTGCAAAATACTTTATCTGATTTTATGTAAATTGAACGTGCAATTTGTATGTTCTGAAAGATGTGTTGCAGTCATGATTCAGTTCTTGGTAAGAACCCATGTTCTGATGTTAATTCTTCCCCGAGATGACAGGACCGTTATTTATTGCTCAAACACCGTTGCCCTGACAATGTGTTGATGGGTTGAATTTTTATTCTTGTTTGAACCTTTGAGTGTTTTCATGTAACCGAGGGCTTGCTAGGCCACTTTAGAGGCCAGTTAAGAATCAATCAGATTGGTGTGAGATTGCAGTCACACGTAAGCTAGGAAAAGACAGTAGGTTTCCTTTCTGAAATTGGCTGTATAGTCCTGAAAGAACAGACCTCAGACAGAAAGCACAGGAGAATGAACCAGTCATTAGAGTTGGGACTTTTAAAGTAGAAATTTGTTGAGAATAAAATTTGGATGTAGAGAATGTAAATAAAGTGCTCAGTAAATTAAGTGAGAAATAGCAACAGTATGAATATTCCTTTAACAGTAAGTCAAATGTTGGCTTGGTCAGACTTCATCTGAAATATTACATTCAAGTTTGGACATCAGAGTGAATATATTAGCACTGGAATAGGTACAGAACAGATTCACTCAAATGACACCAGGTCTTTTAGGTGTAAGTTACAAGGCCAATTTTCATAAACTTGACTGGTGATCCCTTGAGTTCAGAAGGCTGCTAAGCAATATAATTGCATCCCTCAAACTGTTAACTTTGCAATAGGATAGCTGCTGATGGTGTGTAATAGTACACTCAGAGAGTCAGTGTTCCCGTTGCTCTTTAACCTGCAAGTTTAGTCTGTAGACGTGAATAGTGATGGTGGAACCTCAACATTCATTCCCTCACACAGTTAAACAAAAAAAGTCTCTCTCATGCTTACTGCCCGTTGTTGGCATGTGTCAGAATGATTTCCCGGTGATATGCAACCTGTTTGGCTACAACATAAATACACCTTCCAGGGACTTAAATCCAGAGTTTGTGGCTCGGGACCTGCTACGTCACAAGACCTTCACAACAGGATAGATGCATGGAAGTTATTTCATTTGATCACAGAATCTAGATTAAGGAGGCATTTTGTCTTGCAGCCACTGTGAATCAGTGCTGTTGCAGGACACTTTTTCTGCTGACATGACCGGTATAAATTTCTGCACTACTTGCCTCTTTAGTACTGAAATTTGCTGTCATAAAAAGCGACACATTTTTGCTTGTGACTTGAAGTGTTGATAGATGTGTGTTGGAGTACCGCTCGCTGTGGTTGATTCCACCCACAGTTATTAAGCTATCATCTCATTTTGCAAACTTTCAGAATAATCTCTCTTGTTTTACTCATAAGTGTGCATTCAGTATGGTTGTGTTATATGTAATTTATCTTTATTGTTCATTTTCAAACATTTCATACAAATGCTACATATCTAATGAAACAAATCACAGCGTATTATTTAGAGAACCTTCCCTACTGTTGCACTTTTGAATCTAATGTGACATGTTTACTTTAAAATAAGACATTTTATGTTTGTAGTAAGCTCTGCTGCAGTTATTGAGGCTAATGAAAGTTGTATTTTACAAAAAAAGTCGACGATTTCAAATGCATTTTGCAGCAGAAATGAATTTGATATTTTTGATGAATATGCTGTTCAATTAACCACAGAATCAGCAACTTCAAGATGAGAGAAGCTGAAGAGTTAATTTAGATCAGCAACATATTTGTATATATTTCATCTAGGTATAGTACAAGCATCTGAAGTAAATAAATGTTCCCCGTGGTTTGTCAGTGTATAGATCCATAATTATCAGACTTCATTCGTTCTCAGACACTGTTTTTGTAAGAGAGTCTTATATTGGACTACTTGAACTATAATAGTTGTGACTTTTTTTTATAGATGCAGTTGTTTGGCTCCTTCAGGATTCTTTATAGAGAATAGAGAGAAGTTGGCGGCTATACTTGCTTTCAGCAAATAATAAGGGAAACATGAGGTGGAATCTATTGAAGCCACAATGTTTTAGCCACAAATTCAAAAAACATATTCAAAAGCCAGAATGCTGAGTTAGAGGAAATAGATGGCATACTTTTCTCTGCATGTGAAGAAGAATAAATATTTTCCCACTAAATTTGAAATTGTTTTATAATAACTTGGTCAAATTATGCTTCTTTAATTTTACATTCTGAAGAAAATATCCCTCTTGCTTTATGCAGTTGCATTTGTAATTTCAGTGAAACTATTGCTAAAGTATTGCTGAACTAGGATTTTAGACTACAAATACCAGAAATGAAACTGTCCGATGATTAATCTGCTCATTTTAGCATTTGAGTACAAACATTTTATTGTTAATTTGGCTAATACTTCATTTTTCAATTCTGTTGACATCAACCACAAGCCGCGACAATTATTTTGAAGAGGCCTATCCCTTGTGTGTCACCCCTAAGGCAGTGAGTCATACTCTCTCCTCTGAGTCAGAAAGTTGTGGGTTCAATTCTTAGTCCAGGACTTGGGTACAAAAATCAAGGCTGACCAATCATGTATTTCTGAGGGAGTCAGCTCCAGTGCAATGTCAACGCCAAATACATTTGACCCTTTCTTTGTGTCAAAAGGACCACTCATGCTGTGATATCCCAGTTGACACCTCAGTTACGCTAACAATGCCTCCCTTCCCTACAGCAGCTTTCTGTGCAAGCACAGGAGATTTTCTTTCACTTCCTGCCTTCTTACCAACCAAGGCCTTCAAACACTCCTTCCAAGTGAAACAGCAATTTGCTTGTACAACTTTCAATTTAGTATACTGTTTTTGTTGTTCACAATGTGATATTCTCTACATCACATTCTCTACGCGCAGACTTGGTGACTGTTTTGCAGAACACCTTCGCTAGTATGACCCTGCTGTTCGTCACTTCCATTCTGCATATTGCTCACACTCTGACCTTTCTGTTCATGGCCTACTACCCTTCTGGATTTGATATTGATTTCAACAACGTTGGGTCATAACCCTGCCATTTAGTTCCACGTGTTAGTTTAATTTTTGTTTCTACTGACTTGTTTCTTTCTTTATCGTTCACGTTGCATTCAGATGATTGCAGTAATTCTATTTTTGCTTAAAATGGCCACAATCTTTGTTTCCTTACTACAGAAAGTATTGTAACATCTTTCTGTTATTTAATTTCTCTACCCCCAAAACTTTCAGTCCTATCATTTTGTTCTTCCTGCTCCCTGCCCCTTCCACTGGCTTAGAAATTCTTCTATTTCTACATTTCTTCAGTTTTCATGGATGGTTGCTTTTTCTGAAATGTAAAGTCTGTTCGTCTCCATCAATGCTGCCTAACCTGCTGAGTTTTATTTAACTGATGTTTGTTATTATTTAGTACTGAGAAACTTCTGCACTGTCAAAGGTTCCATATTTTGGATGAAAAGCTAAACCTAGGTTCATTTGCTGCCTTAGGTGGATTTAAAAGAATTCACGGCCCTATTTTGAAGTGGGGAGTGGGAACCATTTCCAGTCACCTCCCAATATGTCCTGACAATATCACAAAAACAGATTATCTGGTCATTATTATCTTACTGTTTGCAGGAGCTTACTATGTATAACTTGGCTCTGACATCCCTCTGTCATAACAAATGATTATATTTCAAAAAGTATGTTAATGGCTGTCAAACATTTTAGGATATCCTGTAGACACAAAAAGTGCCACGTAAATGCAAGTGTTTTTAAGTTGGCTATAGGCCTTTTCCTAGCTTTTCAGCTAGTTATCCACCCAATAATTAAGATCTTATCCCTGTTTGTGTTCATACCTGCTGCCTCTCAGCATAATTTGATGACTCTGATCTTCAGTTGTCATACATTTTATCTGTTCCTGCTTGCTTCTGTTTGAGTTTTTTTGAGAGTAATAATCATTCACAGTGGAACCCCAACAATGGACTGAAAGTTGGAAATGTTTGTTCCTCTTTTTCTGAAGGATCTAATTCAAATTCAAATGGCTTTACTGGCAGCTTCCTGTTCTCTCCCAGGTGGCCATTTACTCATGAGGCTGAGCAGCATAAGTGTAGGATAAGATTATTAAACCATTTGGACATTGCTGTTCTTTTGCCTAGTGTTCTACACGAAGAAGGCTTTCAACAGAGTCACTGTGTAGTGACCAGGGACAGGAAAAGTAGCTGATTCTCACTACCTGACCTCTCCACCTTCTCTTCACACAACCTGGCCCTAAATACCTCAAATCATCCCAGCTTAATAATATTACAATCATGTAACCTCAGGTGTATAAACATAGCTTTAAAGACACACATTACACAAGTTTTAGATTCAGTTTTGTTCTTAAATAAACATCATGTGGTATGATTTCCTTTCGAAATGAAGAGCCTACAATTTACCTCAGTCAGCTTTTCAGAGCACCCATTCATTTTGCTCCCCAGTTCTTAATGTAGTCACACTGTTCTAAATGTCTGAAAGATCATATAGATTCATGAACATTCAAGTACTCTTTTATTTTTGAATTGAAAATGGTTTTAAACATCAGGCCTCTTTTTTGTTCTTTGCGACAGTTGGAAAATCTTGTGTTCAAGAGTTGTGAGGTATTAAAACTCCTAACAATCATCTGCAGAAGCCTCATTGATATAGGAATGTACCTCCAACTGCCAGGAGCTTAGATGGTCTTTGACAGTCGTTAAAAACTGTGGTCTGCAGTGTGCCAGAAGGGAGGAAAAAGTGATTCTGCCTCTTTCATAGACATAACAAGCATTTTCTACTGAACTTTAAAAATGTGGTTTACCAAAATAGAAAAGCCAGCGTGCAGCTGCCGGGGACCACATCAGTGTGTATTGCACTAAAAGTGGAGTCTATAAACTTTTCAACGGCAGGAAACGTTGTCGTTTTAAAGAAGATGATCTGAGGCACGTTCAGTGCCCAAGTCCTAGAATTATTGGCT